TTACACGGTTATCAATACATCACGCCAGGGTAAGCCTACATGAAACACAGCCCTTATTTTAAGTGTTTCTAAAATCCCCAATGGGAAAAATGAATGGTGGAAAAACGATTGGAACCATTTCCCTGTTTGACCGCTAGGTTTTATGGGTATTATGACATCTCCACTATGGGGCTGTATTGTCTCAAGGCTTAAAAAGCCTTATTTAACCTGTCTCCTCCCCTTCATCTACACTGAATGAGGTGGATTTAACAGGTGACGTCCATAAGGGATCATAGCTTTCACCTACATTCACCTGGTCAGTCAATGGCATGGAAAGAGCAGGTGTTCCTAATGTTTTGTACAGTCAGTGTAATTTGTCAGTTAAGTTTTCAGTGAATATCACCTATCTATTTTGGTTCAGGTTTATACAAGGCCTCCTGAGTAGATAGACCTAACATGCACAGTATGTTAATGGCGATAGAGAATCCCCTTTTTACAGCACCCTCTGCTGCTCACATTTGAGCCTCACTGAATAAGAAAATGCACAAGCTCACTCACTCACACACGCACCCACACACATACACACACACACACACACACACACACACACACACATACACACACACACACACACATACACACACACACACACACATGCATACACACACACACACACACACACACACACACACACACACATACACACACACATACACACACACACACACACACACACATACACACACACATACACACACACACACAATGTTATGGCATATAGCCTACCTCATCATCATTTTTAGCAGAGGAAATAAATCTCCAAGCATACAGGGAGATGTTTGCCACTGGAATGGGCATCAATGACGTGATTAACGAAGAAGTCTTGTCACTCTATTGAATAATTGCTCAGGTCAGCAGGATTTCGTGCACAGAATGACAGTCATCTGGCGCAAATACCATTTAGATTTCAGTCTTCTGGTACAAATACCATTTTGATTTGAGCCTTCTAGCACGAATACCAATTTGATTTCAGTCTTCTGGCAAGAATGCCATTTTAATTTCAGTCTTCTGGCACAAATACCATGTTGCTCTAAGTACACATGAATACGCTTTCTTTAATCCTAAAGTAAGCTCCTATGAGATATGATGCTTTCTTTAATCCTAAAGTATGCATAAGAACTGAACCTTGATGTATGTCATCATGCAATGCCGTTTATTGAAGGAGAAGAAGAAGAAGAAGAAGAAGAAGAAGAAGAAGAAGAAGAAGAGGAAGAAGAGGAATGTAGACGCATAATGCAAACTGATTTGAATCAGAAATGTGCATTCCTTTTATTAAGGAAAAAAGTCATGTTATCTTTCTGATGCTGTCTGTAGGCTACATGGCAACGGCCAATTCTGAGGCAATTTTTGAACAGAACAGGCGATTATATTCTAGCATCGAGAATAGAATAGTCATGGTAGGAGCGGGCAGCATGCTGTTCTGCATAGCCAAGAAGATAAACTGATAATAAACGTGCACAGCGTGGCAACTGCCAATGTAACATTCATTTGAAAGAGTACATCTATTAAGATGGAATTCCTGGAGCGAAAGACTGTTTGTTTGTCGACAACAACGGATTCCACTCGCTCTTTCTGCCCTGCTTTGTCTTTTTCCGGGAAAATCTTCCAGCTCAAAACCCCGACACTTCTCCATAACGTCTCCATGGAAACAAAACAGCTGAACTCTCCAAATATGGACATGGAAGTGCAACGCAATCGCGTCAGTGCAAACACGTCGTGACGTAAAATACTGCAACGGCACGCTTATAATGCCTAGATGGGATACAGTTTTTGTCAAATTGACGTCAAAATTTGTTTTGTTTTTGCGTTTTAGCTAACCCTAAACCTAACCTAATTCTCCTAACTTGCTACGTTAATTATCCTAACTTGCTACGTTAATTTTCCTAACCGGCTGCCAAAAGAAAATGTTGACTAAAGTTGTATCCCGTCTAGCCTAACCCGGCACGCTTTGTGCTGTGTGCATGTCTGCGTTTGCCTTGACCGTGAGAATACTGGCAAGAGATTTAAGATAATAAATAATGAACGTGATCTTTTTGTTTCGCCCTAATTAAAAAGTATGTCCTTGATAACATTAATTTATAAAGTTCAAGACTAGAACAATTTATGGAAAGAGTATTTGACATAGCTGTATTCTTTTCAAAGAAGAAGTCTATCATGGTCTATTCTGGTTCAAATATCATTATACACAACCTAAACAATAGCCTATACATAATAATACAATTCGTCTCTGGCCTAACAACACCCGTGCCAATATGTCCTCCAAACACCTGCTTCTCGGGCATTATCACTTAAATGTTTTGACCCAGTCATTAATTCTAATCATTCTATTCATTCAACGTTCATTCAACGTTGCTATGCTAAACAAATCATTGGCATGTAGCTAGCTCTAAAAAATGATGGGATCAACAAGGGTTCTTCTAATATCCTCAAAGTTTCCTTGAAGAACCTTAGGGTTGTTGGTACTGAAAAAATGCCTCCAAAAGGTTCTTCCAAGAACCCCATAGGAGGTGGGGTTAATCGAGGAACCTCTTTAGTTCTTGGGGGTTCTTGCAGGAACCTAAATGCCCAACTGAAATATTTTGATTTGAATTTGAGAGACAGCAGGTGTAGGCATTTAACTGGAAAAATGTAAAGATCTCCTCAATTTAAAGTAAGGTTTGTCCCTTGTATGATCTAAATTGATATTGTTTTATGATGATACCATCTATCTTTTCATATTTGTGCAAATCTTTCTAAAACAGAAAATGGACACAATTCAATGGCTATCAATGAACAAAGAGGTAAGAATATGTAGGCTATAAGAATATGCTGAAGGCTAGCTGTATTGGTTGCAGATGACTGAACTGCTCACTTTTGTGTCTGTGTCTGCAGGTATACAGATGAGGAGGCATACAAAGGAATGTGAATTGGTATTGGTATGCAGATCACATTTACCATCCTCCTCCCTTACCTCTTCAATGAATATCCCATATGCCTCTACATTATGGACAAGGTATGTGTTTGAAAACCATTATCAAAACAGTTTTTTTCATTCACATTCACCACAAAAACCAAGGAATGAATTCTGTCGTGTGCGTGTTTTTTTAAAATCATCTATATAATTACTATTTTTTGGGATTCACAGACTTCATCCTCCCTACACCTGTGATGAATCTAACAGGAAACCTGTTAGATCACCATGCACTGCTAAATCATTCTGGCTATGGATACGGAGAACATCAACACATTAACATCAACACACCAGAGGATATACCCATTGGACTTGGGGCTCTGCTGGGAGTTTACCTCATATTTGTATTTTTTTAATTCTGCTTTGCCACTAAAATCATAATAAACACTGACAACTAAACTATTGTGTCATTGTTGTTATTGTTAAGCATATTATTAAAAAGGAATCCCAAAATGTTATTTGTGGAACTATTAATGGGGGTTCTTTGAAGATCCTCCTAAAGGATCCTCCTAAAGGATCCTCCTAAAGGATCCTCCAGGAACTTATTCTTTTTAGAGCTATAGCAGAGATTCAATGATGATGAGAGACAACAACTTCAGTAAATAACGATTTCATAAATATCCAATGACCTACATAGGCAACAGCTATTATGGTTGGCAAGTCCGAGCTAACCAAGCTAGTTGGTGATGTTATTAGTGACATTTCTGTTGATGGCACACGAGTGGAAGAACTGTCCATGGTCCTGGCACTGATTAGTGACAGCCAATGCTTGCCTCTTTTTTGTTGTTGGTAGAAAATATGACTTTTTACGGTTTCTATGTTGAAATTATTTGTTTCACGTTAATTCTTGGGCTAGCTAGCCTACTGGCATGGGAGAGATCGCGTTTGTAAAATGATACATTGCTGCACATGTCGTAGAGGCAGACGGGTAGATTTATACAACTCCCAACTGTTGCAAACCAAATAGTAGCAAGGAAAAATAATGTGTAGACGCTTTTTTTCACGAGGGAGATGAAGTTAATGAATTTCCTGCCTGGGCTGCAGGACAGTGGAATTATGACATTAACTATAATCATGGTAGTTGTTGTCCCACAACTCCCGCAAATCAAACAATAAGTATCCAGGATCCAAATAACCAGTTTTATAATTTTATTTGTCTGTGTTCAATTTTTTTTGCATCTTAACCAACAATTAGTCCAAACTTTTAAGGTAAAAAAATAAACTATGTCATAAAATACATCTTGATAAAATACATGGCATTGTGTTTTCATGGAAAACCGGAAAGAAATGTCACCTTACAGTAAAATGATGTCCACATTACTCAAATTGTAATTTCACCTGTTAATAAGACACAATCTGATATCAGTATCCACACAAATCACAGTCTAGTTTTACATTTATATTTAAGGATGGAAAAACAAAGATATAGCACCATTTTCTAATCAAATGGTGCGATTTTGCATGCATTTAATTTTGATAAAACGACAACAATAGATATCTTCTTCAAGAGAGTGAACAGCCCTCACAGCTGCACCGATACATATGGAAGAAGTTAATACAGTTACAGTCACAGTAACCATTTCATTTGGTGCTAAAGGTTTAACGTTAACGAAACATCATAACAAGCACAACAAAACATCAGGGGTTAGATGAACAGAACATAGCTTTATTGGTTCAATATCAACCTCATGGGGCCAGTTTCCTTAGACACAGATTAAACCTAGTCCTGGACTAAGAAGGACTATCAAAGGAGAATCATCATTGAACACTGCTTTTTAATCTAAGACTGGGCTTAATCTGTGTGTGGGAAACCGACCCTATATGTATACATCCCACCAATCCCATAACAGTGTCACAAGGTCAACAGTGTGGGAGAGTTCAGATTACCGTTCATCAAATCAGATCTACCACCAGCACCTCCTTTGAGGGTCTCAGAGCTGGAGTTGCAACGCCCGTCCCCGCCAAAGAGTCTATCTCTGAGTAATTCAAACCAAACACAGATCGATAACTGCTACAGGTAGGCCTGTAACTGGAAAGTCATCATCATGGGGGTGCAGAGGGGCTCCAGACTGTTGGCCACCGACTTGTACAGGGTCTCCCAGTCTGAGAGGCAGAAGGGGCCCCCGAGGAGGTCGATGTCGGGTACAGATGGGGCAGTCTCGGGGGCCACAGCCATGTTGAGTTCCAGGCTGGGGACCAGGTCGTCTAGGTCATCCTGGTCGAAATCTAGGTCCTCCATGGGATCTTCCTCAGCGCTGGAGCACAGCAGGATGTTGGAGTTACCCAAGATGGCCGATGCAGAGATGGAGATGCTTGAGGGGACCACAACAGTTTCCATCTCCTGAAACGAGGGAGTGTCGGACACAGTCACTAGTGCTGCATTTCCCTCTGGGAGTTGGAGTTTGTCTGCGTTCTCCAAGATGGAGAGCAGCTGGGGGGAATCCGGAGGGTCCTGGAGCATGCGGTCAATGTCATCGTCGATGTCATCATCAATGTCTTCTTCCACGTTGTCCTCAGCGGCGGCTAGTTTGCAGGCTGGCCGGTGGGCGGATAGGATCTGTTCCAGACTCTCTTTCTCTTTCAGGAGGTGGGCTATCTCTGTCTCCAAGGCCTCTTTGTCCTCTTCAAGTTGATCAGTTTCCTATAAGGAGAGAACCACACATCAATCAATTACCATGTTTATGAAATGACAATTAAAAGAAGATACATGGTCTATTAAGACGTATGGAGAGCCTCAATCACTTGGGGTGAAATCCATTCTGCTAAGCATCTCCACAAGGACATGACAGTCGTCTTTCACATGAGAACAAGGTGCACTTACGGCTTGCAGGGTGTCGGTGAGCTCCCGCCGTCTGTTGCGACACTTGGCTGCGGCGACTTTATTCCTCTCTCTCCTGATCTTCCTCCTCTCATCCTCTTCTGATGTAGCCTGGACCAGTCACAACAAAAGAGAACCCTCTAAATGCATAAGGAATCTTGCCATTGCGTCACTTGGCCCTTTAAGGCTAATTCAATATTTGGCAAAGGGTAGCCCTAAAATAGCCTATACATCCTTTAATGCAGCGTCAGAAAATATATCAGGGTTGCCGACTGTAGACTTTCCTTGGCTAAGCTACATATTGAGTGGGTAACAAGTTCAATACCAGACCTATAGAACACTTAATATGTGCATAAGAATGCTGCACCATTAGGCACAGTCTGTCCAGTCACGTGCACGCACGCACATTAGACCATTCAGGACTGATTAGTTGAAATTGTATCGAAATTGTCCATGATATATAACACAGCTTACCTGTTTTTTCCCTTTCTTGCAGGTGGATTGTTCCTTGCTCCCTCCAGCTCTGGAAGACGACTGGGTTGCGCCACGAGCTCTTGTTGGCTTTGCGCGGCTGGAGGGGGAGGCAGATGGGGAGGAGGAGGGGGAGACTGATGCTGAGATGACGGTGGTCGGTTGGACCATCCACTGCAGATCCGAGAAGGCTGAGATTGCGGTCACTGTAGGAACAAAGGGAGACCGCCGTGGATAGTCTGTGTCACCGGAGACATTCTGCAAAAACAACACAAGGAATGTTGAATTGATTGAATCTAATAGACTCCGATGACATGCATGGTTGACCTTTCCAAAAACGGCGTGATGTGCATCAATGATTTGGTTATTGGCGTGACATTTATAGCACAATTGATGGTGTATCTATAGCTAATTCTGTACTAATTTACAACGTTTATAATTAGGGTTTGATGTCACGCAATTTTTATTTTATTTTATTATTCAGGGTAAACCCATTGAGGCCAGGGTTTCATTCACAAGAGTGCCCTGATCACAGTAACACTACTGTAATAAACGACAGTAATAAACGACAGTCCATCTCATGTTGCCAATAATAGCTAAACCAATCATCGTCATCACCAATCATCGTCATCACCGTCTTCATCATGATCACCATCCTCATCATCTATTGGCGTGACGGCAGCAATCAAGTCTTCAATTATCATTTGGTAAACATCGCCTCCTATACCACTCGAGTAATGTCAGGAATTTGAAGGTGATCAGCCAACAGTCTGACCGTGGCATGTAGGTAAGGCCTATATGGGTACCTACTCAATAAGGGCTTTTTCAACATGCCGTAAACATCTGGATAGGCTGTGTGTCGCAGTAACGGAGCTACATATTTTCTATCACGAGCGGTTCACGGTCCAGTAGGCTTATAGGCTGTAGATTCAGAATCACTCTGAATTAATATGCAATAAAAAAATATATAAATGATTGATCTTGCCACAAACTCAATGCAACACAAACATAATGAACATTTCCAAATAATCCTCCAATGCAATTCCATGAACCTTTAAAAAAAAAAAAAAAAAAATTATAACAACATCCATTCGTACCTGCGACGTGCTGCTGTCTATTGATGATGCGCTCGTGAGTGAGTTTGGAGACCGCTGACTGCACGCGGGTCTGTCTCCGGTAGGCGATGCTGCGCTGTTGCTTCTCGTGCTGCTGCTGGACGAGCTCGAGTCATTGTAGTTTTGGCTCGAGTCTGGATACATGATGATGTGTTCTAAAAAAAATAATATATATATATCAATAAAGCATGAAAAACAAATCACTATTCCTCCTATATTTTAAGCTATTATCTACTGTCCTGCTGTTCTATCACCTCTGTGCATCACTTTTCTGGGTTCTTTCACGTGAATTGTACTTGCTGCAGATAGTGGAGCGCGCCTCCTTTTATAGTGAGCTGGAATTTTATGAATGAAATCTGTGTGGAGAGAACGTACCATTCCACAAAGAGAGAAGGGTTTTGGGGGATAGAATGAACAGGCTTGTTTTATCAATGGAGCAGCAATATTAGCTATACATTTTAACTGAGAGTTGAAAGCAGTCTTAACTGTTATCCAAATTAATTAGGCCCACTATTCAAATATGACCAAAAATGTTTGCAAATTAAGCACCCCCTCTTCAAGAAATGGATACCTACATTGTAACCACCACCAACATATTAATGAACTACGTCACATCATATAGCAACCTATGCAGCATTTGTATTAGGCACGTTATAGCTACGTTCCCTTTGTAAAAACATTGTTTCATAATACCTACATGGCCACGTTTCAGATCATACACTGAACATGTATGTGCCAAGCTATATATAGCCTATCTCTCTAGGCCGTTCCTATGAAAATATGTTGAAAGAAATCGTCTGCCAATCGTGCATTTCATATACAACACCGACCTCAAATGTCCTCCAAAAAAACAGCAATCCTCTGTAGGATACTATCCACACAGAATCTAGTTTTCTAATATTTAATACAAATGTTATTTGTTATAATCATTTAATAACACTGGTATTGTTGTCGATATCTGAATAGCAGGTGTTTTCTGCATCCACTCATACCCTAATCATATGCTTATTACAGATAGACATCGGTTCACGTTTTAATAGAAAGGACATTGAAAATAGATTTGTTGCGGGTTTGCAACTATACAGTACACACCTGCTACAGAGACGCCTCTCTGTAATTATTTGTGAGATTATAGCTGTGATTATAATTACTACATAGCCTAAACTTGACAAATACAGCTCAAGCAACATACTTGTCGCTGCAGCCAGACAACCAATCAGAGAGGAGTCCATTAGGACCATATATGGAGTTTCCGTTCACACGTTGTCTTGCGTGTTGGGCTAAGACTAAGTGGACCGTTCAAACACTGCCTAGAGAAAAACTGATATAGGCATTGAAATGAATCCGTGTCAGTCATTCATTCGATAAAGTCATAACTTTTTTATAATAGGCTACATGCTTATTATAATGATTCAATCTTATTCTCAAGGAGTTGGGAGTGTGTCCTTGAATATGCCTACATTCCAAATCAAATGGCACCCTGTTCCTTATATAGCCTACACTCTTAGGAAAAACAAGGTGCTATCTAGAGCCTAAAAGGGTTAATCGGCTGTCCCCATAGGAGAACCTTTTGAAGAACCCTTTTTGGTTCCAGGTAGAACCCTTTTGGTTCCAGGTAGAACCCTTTTGGTTCCAGGTAGAACCCTTTTGGTTCCAGGTAGAGGGTTCTACATGGAACCAAAAAGGGTTATCCCATCGGGACAGCAGAAGAACCCTTCTGGAAGAATTTTTTTCTAAGAGTGTGCACTACTTTTGACCAGAGCCAATAGGGTAGTAGTGCACCACTATATTAGAGAATAGGGTGCCATTTGGGACCTTTATCATTCTCTTGCTCAGATGAATGGTCTTCTTCTCAAAAGCTACTTTAGGAAATATTACTGGCAGCAATTGTTTTGCTCACAGCTCCTCTCAAGTAGCATAGTCCGAATCTGACTAGATCAGTGGTTCCCAAACTGTGGGGATTGGTGCATTCAAAAAATAAACTACAACAACAAATGCGAGACCTAGCGTTGGGGTGAGTAGCTCTCGGAAGTGTTGTCGAATCCAATGGGCTGCTATAGCATGAGCTACCCTAGCATGCTGACGAACAACTAGCAATCATTCAAAACTAGCAGTATTTCAATCTTCTCGATTTGTCAAGTTGGGATAATGGGATAGCTGGGAGAACACTGCCATCTCCCATCCCAGGATTGAGGTACGTTCTCCGAGCCATATCTCGTGCTCCTGATCATGGTAGCCACGTTCCAGCTAGAGAGAGAATGTAATGAACTTCTCTGGCTAAAGTAGCGGCCCGGGGCGATGGAACCATGGAACCATGGAACGTGAGAATAGAATAGAATAGAATAAAGACAGACAGACAGACAGACAGACAGACAGGCAGACAGTCAGACAGACAGACAGACAGGCAGGCAGACAGACAGACAGACAGACAGGCAGGCAGGCAGGCAGGCAGGCAGGCAGACAGAAGACAGACAGACAGACAGACAGACAGGCAGGCAGGCAGGCAGGCAGGCAGACAGACAGACAGACAGACAGACAGACAGACAGACAGACAGACAGACAGACAGACAGACAGACAGACAGACAGACAGGCAGGCAGACAGACAGACAGACAGACAGACAGACAGACAGACAGACAGACAGTCAGACAGGCAGGCAGGCAGGCAGACAGACAGACAGACAGACAGACAGACAGACAGACAGAGAGAGAGAGAGAGAGAGAGAGAGAGGCAGACAGACAGACAGACAGACAGACAGACAGACAGACAGGCAGGCAGGCAGACAGACAGACAGACAGACAGACAGACAGACAGACAGACAGACAGACAGACAGACAGACAGACAGACAGACAGACAGACAGACAGACAGACAGGCAGGCAGGCAGGCAGGCAGGCAGACAGACAGACAGACAGACAGAAAGACAGACAGACAGACAGAGGCCTCCCTGTGAAAGGGAATACCTCGTCTGGTGTGTCTTCGGCATTTAACCCAACCCCTCTGAATCAGAGAGGTGCAGGGGGCTGCCTTTGGGAGCAGTGGCGCGCAGCTCCCCCGGGACTGCTGGGCAGAAGGAATATCAGCACACACAGAGAAGCACGAGGTTGAACTTCACTCAACTCTCTAGAGTTTTCCCCGTTAGTCAACGCAATATTAGCCACTTTCAATGCAACATACCGAAATGAACTATGCAAGACTTAGTATGCAAAACTAACTATGCAAGATATTTTGTTGTAGGCAGAACGCATTGGAGTAGGATACTATTGCATTGACAGGCTCGTACTCTACACAGACCGTTGCGCCATAACCAATCAGAGCTGCAGTAGGCCTAAATGCAAATAGACCATTGCCATACAGTGGGGGAAAAAAGTATTTAGTCAGCCACCAATTGTGCAAGTTCTCCCACTTAAAAAGATGAGAGAGGCCTGTAATTTTCATCATAGGTACACGTCAACTATGACAGACAAATTGAGGAAAAAAATTCCAGAAAATCACATTGTAGGATTTTTAATGAATTTATTTGCAAATTATGGTGGAAAATAAGTATTTAGTCACCTACAAACAAGCAAGATTTCTGGCTCTCACTGACCTTTAACTTCTTCTTTAAGAGGCTCCTCTGTCCTCCACTCGTTACCTGTATTAATGACACCTGTTTGAACTTGTTATCAGTATAAAAGACACCTGTCCACAACCTCAAACAGTCACACTCCAAACTCCACTATGGCCAAGACCAAAGAGCTGTCAAAGGACACCAGAAACAAAATTGTAGACCTGCACCAGGCTGGGAAGACTGAATCTGCAATAGGTAAGCAGCTTGGTTTTAAGAAATCAACTGTGGGAGCAATTATTAGGAAATGGAAGACATACAAGACCACTGATAATCTCCCTCGATCTCGGGCTCCACGCAAGATCTCACCCCGTGGGGTCAAAATGATCACAAGAACGGTGAGCAAAAATCCCAGAACCACACGGGGGGACCTAGTGAATGACCTGCAGAGAGTTGGGACCAAAGTAACAAAGCCTACCATCAGTAACACACTACGCCGCCAGGGACTCAAATCCTGCAGTGCAGACGTGTCCCCCTGCTTAAGCCAGTACATGTCCAGGCCCGTCTGAAGTTTGCTAGAGTGCATTTGGATGATCCAGAAGAGGATTGGGAGAATGTCATATGTTCAGATGAAACCAAAATAGAACTTTTTGGTAAAAACTCAACTCGTCGTGTTTGGAGGACAAAGAATGTTGAGTTGCATCCAAAGAACACCATACCTACTGTGAAGCATGGGGGTGGAAACATCATGCTTTGGGGCTGTTTTTCTGCAAAGGGACCAGGACGACTGATCCGTGTAAAGGAAAGAATGAATGGGTCCATGTATCATGAGATTTTGAGTGAAAACCTCCTTCCATCAGCAAGGGCATTGAAGATGAAACGTGGCTGGGTCTTTCAGCATGACAATGATCCCAAACACACCGCCCGGGCAACGAAGGAGTGGCTTCGTAAGAAGCATTTCAAGGTCCTGGAGTGGCCTAGCCAGTCTCCAGATCTCAACCCCATAGAACATCTTTGGAGGGAGTTGAATGTCTGTGTTGCCCAGCGACAGCCCCAAAACATCACTGCTCTAGAGGAGATCTGCATGGAGGAATGGGCCAAAATACCAGCAACAGTGTGTGAAAACCTTGTGAAGACTTACAGAAAACGTTTGACCTGTGTCATTGCCAACAAAGGGTATATAACAAAGTATTGAGAAACTTTTGTTGTTGACCAAATACTTATTTTCCACCATAATTTGCAAATAAATTCATAAAAAATCCTACAATGTGATTTTCTGGAAATAAATTCTCTTTTTGTCTGTCATGGTTGACGTGTACCTATGATGAAAATTACAGGCCTCTCTCATCTTTTTAAGTGGTAGAACTTGCACAATTGGTGGCTGACTAAATACTTTTTTTCCCCACTGCATATGGATCTGTGCCATTCACTTTGAACTGGACTGTTTTTATAGCATTAACGTCATGGGTAGATGCGCTTGTTTTGAGATCAAAGTGAGAGCTACATGTAGCAACATTTGCACATTTGTACATTTGTTCATATCCTTTGCTAGTTAGTGCGTTATTAGCCCAGTTATAGATCATTTGTAGTTAGCAATGGGGGCGTAATTGCTTCCTACAAGAGCACAAAACATGTGTATTTCTAGACATCTTTTTTTTATCTTAAGGGGGCAGTGTTGTATTTTGAAACAGGCTAGAATAAGCTAAGTAGCCAATAGGCAGAGGGTAGCATAATTTGGCTGGTTCTCTGTAATAATGGTATGGGAATAATGATGCATTTTATTTTGTAAAGTGGTTTCTTGCATCAAACAACACAACAGCATTTTTAGTCACC